AAAAAAAAAAAAAAAAAATTAATACACAGAAGATCCTAGAACAATGCCTGGTGCATAGGAGGCTGGTGGCAGCAGCGATATTTGTTGTTATTTTCTATATTATCTTTAGAAATAAATACAGACCAAAGCTCCCTTTGCCTTCGTGGAGACCCAGTAGTTTTGACAGTAAGAGCACAAGATGTGTGTGTGCTCAGTTCTGGTGGTGTCCGTCGTATTTGAGTCACAGAGGAATACAGCATCACAGAGTACTGATCTGTGTGCATCGCCACATCCTTCGGGTTTTTAAAACACCATTTTAAAAGTGGCACAGTAATACATATTCATTAAAAATAATTTGGAAAATAGAAAAATGTTACTCAAAGCCCCACTGCCTGTTCACCTGCTGATGTGTGCCCGTCCTGTCCTAAGGAGTTTTTTAAAGCCCGTTTTTCACAGTTAGAGCCATTACAAATGAGTTTGTGTCCCGCTGTTTTCACGTAGTGTAACGAGACATTACTTTACTGACAGGAACATTTATTCAGTGGCCGTAACATGCATTTCTTAATTCGTTCGCCGTGGCATAAGTCGAGCTGTGACGAACTTCTATCAGCTAAAACTTTTTCTGTTTGTGATTTCCTTAGGATTTATTTCCAGGTATGTAATTATTAGGTCAAAGATGATATTATGATCATTAGAAAGATTTTAGTATGTGTGACTAAACTGCTTACCAAAGAGGTCACTTGCCTTTCTCTCCCGGCCCCCGCCCAGTGCCGTGGACCGTGTTCGCTTTTGTATTTATCTCTTTGTTAGCTAAGAGGTAAAATATTTTCCCATATGTTCTAATGGCATTTTTTTATTTGAAAATTTTTTGGTTTTCTTTTTAACCTCTTAGAATCTTAGTGTTCTACTTAGCAAGATATATATGTTTTCTGTATTAAAGATGTTATAATCCTTTGTTACATTTGCTGCAAATATTTTTCCAGTCTGTTTGCCTTTTTTTTTTTTAAAGAGGTGGGGTCTAGCTGTGTCACCGAGGCTGGAGTACAGTGGCGCAAGTCTCCTGCCTCAGCCTCCTGAGTAGCTGGGACTATAGGTGCGTGCCACCACGCCTGGCTTGTTTTTCTTATTTTTTGCAGAGATGGGGTCTTGCCATGTTGCCCAGTCTGGTCTTGAACTCCTGGGCTCAAGCGATCCTCTCGCCTCAGCCTCCCAAAATGCTGGAGTTACAGTCATGAGCCACCGTGCCTGGCCTGCCTTTAATTTTGTGTTGTCAGGTTTTTCCTCCTATGGTCTTTCTTTTTCTTTGTAATTTCTATTATTCTTTTATTATTCTGAAAAAAAAATTTTTTTGAGACATGGTCTCGCTCTGCTGCCCGGCCTAGAGTGCAGTGGCACAATCACAGCTCACAGCATCCTCCAACTCGAGGATCCTCACGGGCTCAAGGATCCTCTGCCTCGGCCTCCCCAAGTGTTGGGATCACAGGCGTGAGCCACCACGCCCGGCCTTGACATTTTTTTTTTAACTACAGAAAAATCGCATGACCACAGGTCCCACAAGAATGGAATTCAGGTTGAATGCAATTGGCTTTGAGTCCCTCCTCCTGCGCAGGCAGCCTCCTCTAGGGAAGCGACAGGACGGAGTGCTGGTCTCCAGGTCACCAGGACTTTCCCGGCCCAGCTAGCCCAGGAATTGCCGCTGGCCTGGAAATCCCAGCCCCGGGGTGTTTGGGCCCCAGCGGATCCCGCCACCAGGGGGCGCCAGAGGGCAGCGAGGCGGACACGCGCTGTGCCCAGCCTGAGCTGCCCATGCGCCGTCCCTGGGCTGACTTGGGGCCCTCACGGGCCGAGGTGTGGCTCGTGTGCTGCGCTGGTCAGGCGCTCGCGAGATTCTGGGCCGTGTTCAGTAGTCAGCGAGCCGTCCCTCGGCCTTTGAGCCCCCTTCACGGAGAGAGGCTGAGCCTCCGAGAAGCGAGGCGACCTGCACCAGGCGGGTGAGGGGCCAGACGGGACACCAGAGTCTCTGGCCGCAGCCTCTCTCTGGGCCCCCAAGGGTGATGGTTGGGGGTGTTCAGCCTCTCATGACTGTCCAGCCCTTTCGGGATCACAGGCCTTTTCAAAAATCTGATGGAAGCTTTGGATCCTGTTCCCAGAAAACGTGCCGAATTTTGCAGACAAGTTCAGGGGTGTCTGAGGACTTTCTGACGCCTGGCTGCGAACCTGCGTCCCAGTCGATTTCGGGGATCTTTCCTGCCCCCTGCTGTCTGAGAGGGTCTGGGGACTCCGGGAAGCTGGGAAGGGCCGTGGCGCCGTGGTGGGGGCGCCCCTGTGACGTCTGCTCCTCCCCCAGGATGGCCGTGGTTCCCGTCATCATCAGCCTCACTCTGACCACGCTGCTGGGCAACGCCATCGCCTTTGCCACGGGGGTGCTGTACGGACTCTCTGCTCTGGGCAAAAAGTGCGTGTGCAGGTCCCGGCCCGGGGCGGGACTTCCCTTCCTGCCTCCCGAAGTCTCAGGGCCCGAGAGTGGCCCCTTTTATCCAGTGGTGGACACAGGCACAGAGGTTGTCAGAGACTCTCATCAGTGTCTCCGGGGTGTTCAGCTCTAGGGCACGAAGGCGAGAGAACCCCCGAGACCTCTGGGTGGCCCGGTCTTGCCCGGTTGCGGCCTGTAGCTGGGATAGCAAATGCATGGCTCGCGAGAACCCCTTCCCGCCCGGCGCCCGCACCAGGCGCCGGGGCCAGTTGCCGCCCTCTCTCCTGCACGGCCCCGGTGGAGGCTGATTCCTGCTCAACCTAGCATCCCAGCCAGCCTGTGCCACCGTCAGGTGACGAGGCAGCCGTCTGCCACCTGGCAGAGGTTTCTGGAAATCCGAATGCCTGTGGGTCACGCCTGGGGCACTGGCCGGGAGCAGGGCAGTGGCTGGGATGCCTGGGGGCCCGGAGCCCGTGCTCCCTGTGACGCCGCCTCACTCTCTCCCCAGGGGCGACGCCATCTCCTACGCCAGAATCCAGCAGCAGAGGCAGCAGGCGGATGAGGAGAAGCTGGCAGAGACCCTGGAGGGGGAGCTGTGATGGGGCTGGGAGCCCCCCCCGACTCCTCCGGTTCTGTGTGAGACACCCAGATGAGGCCTGGACATCGACCCTGAGGGACAGTCTGGCGGGGGCACCTCTGCCTGTCCCCCGTGCCCAGAGTCCTCTGTCTGTCCCTTCTCCACTCTGCTGGTGCTGGGCTGCAGGACTTGAGGCCGATCAGAGCCCACGGAGCTCTGCACGGGTACCCCTGGCCCTGCTCCCCCGCTGGGTGGCTCTGTGGACTCTGCACTGTTGGCAGAGCCGCGGCTGGTCTGCCCCAGGCCCGGAGCAGCTTCCCCACGTCCAGCCGGGGCCTGCCTCTGGGTCCTTTGCCTGGGCGCTGAGCAGAGGGGCTGCCCTAGCCCTCCTGGCAGGCGGAGGCCCTGGGGCCTGGAATGGCAGGGCGGTGTCCTCAGGCTGTCCACTGCCCGGGGCTATGGCCCCTGCTGCCACTCTGTCTTCTGTGGGCACCCACAGTACTCCCAGGACACACCCCATACCCCAAACAGCAGCTTTGGCAGTGACGGGACAGTAGGGTGGGGGCGCTCTCTGCCGCGTTCCCTGGAATCTTGGACACGAGCCACCCTAGACACCCTGCCGCCCCACCTCCCCCGGGCCTGGCTTGGGCCACTAGGTTCTGCCCCTTCCCACCCCCCCAGGCCTTGGTGCTAAGGAAGCAGGCAGAGCAGACACTCCCTGGCGCCTACGAGGGGCCCCCACCATTCTGGCCGTGTCAGCAGTGGCCCACGCCCCCACCTCAGGTACTCCTGCCGGCCTGTCCCCAAGCCCTTCCCACAGGGAACTTCTGCCTCTTCAGAGCAGGGCAGAGGCCAGAGTCACCCCCCACAGAGAGCTGTCCCCACTGCCCCGCGTGCCAGGCCACCGGGAACAAGGCCACCGGGAGCAAGGCCATTGCGGGGGAGAGGTGACACCCGGGAAGTGGATCCCATCCTCCCTCTGCCCTGTGCCCTCGGCCCATGGGCTCCTCTGGTTGCCAGGTGGGCCGCAAAGTGGGTGGTGTGGAAAACACTCGGTCTGGGCCCAGCCCCAGCCCACCCTGGGCCCCAGGGCCCTGGAGCTCGGGGACTGAGTCTTGCTGTGGAGACACCAGCCCCGCCGCTGTGCCAGGGCTGTTCCCAGGACCTATCGGGCCTGTCAGCGTTGGCGGCAGGAGCACAGGCTCTCAGGCTGGCAGAGGGGGTGCTTGGGCCCTGTTCACGACTGCCCTGGGGACTCATCCCTGGGCTCCTGGGTCACTAGCAGCCCTCCGGGCATCTGGCCAGGCGAGCCCCAGGGTGGCAGGGGCATCACAGTGTGGCCGGCTTGGTGGCACATGTGCCTTCAGGGTTCCTCAAGCCACTGCTGGGTTCAAAGGGCTGTGTTAGTGTGTGTGTCTCCTCCCAAGTGTGCAGTGCTAAGACTTGTTGCGTGCGCGCGCGCTTGTGTGTGTGTGTGTGTGTGTGTGTGTGTGTGTGTGTGTGTCTCCTTCTGAGTGTGCAGTGCACAAGACCTGTCTACCTCCCAGGTGGGCCAAGGCCCTGCCTGCCTCCTGCTCACTCTTGCCCAGGTGGTGGGGCTCTGGGTCCCTCCAGCCCCTGCCCAAAAAGCATCACTGGCAGCAGGAAGAGGGGTTGGCTGTGTGTCAGGAAGTTCACACCTGTGCCCTCTGGGGAAGCTGGGTGGGTCCTGGGCAGGCCCTTGGTCACAGGCCGGAGTGGGTAGGTCACTTGCCCGAGGTTCCCAGTGAGTCCAGAGCCCTGTGGTCCTGGAGCTCAGGACCCTGTCTCCCAGCAGAAGCGCCATCGGAGGGGGGGCCTGCCTTGCCAGGAGTGTCTGTCCTTGTGGCCAAGGGCTCCGCTCCTGCCTGAGTGTCTGCACTGTGCCGTGGAGCCCCCTGTGCCCCTCACTGTTCGGCCTGAGTCTTGAGCAATAAAGCGAGGCTGGATCGGTGGGCCTGCTCCCTGTCGTCTGCCTGTCCCTTCTGCCTTGGGGGCCCGCATGTAGCATGGTAGGGGTGCCTCCAGCCCAGCCGAACAGGGGCTGCAGGCCCAGGAAATAATCACAGGTGCTGTCCCAAGCCTGCTCAGCATCTCGGACAAGGAGAGCGACGTGCCCAGGGCCGCGTGGCGTGCACAGCTGGCGCGCGTTAAGGGCCGATTGGGCTGGGCCCCCTCCCGCCACCTGCCTCTCTCCTTCCCGTTGCTGCCCCGCAGGGGCAGGCGGGGTGGCTGCAGTGGGGCCCGCTGCCTGGTGATCGTGACAGCTTAGGTCTAGCCTGGCTGTCGGTGCGGGGCTTCTCCTGGAGTAGACCCCACTCCGTCTAGGGTGCAGGCCTGGTTCCTTTATTTTTATAAATAGGGTGAACACAGTTTGCAGACGGGAGACCCCCGTTCCCAGAGGCCGGGCTGGGGAGGAGGAAGTGGCCACACTGGGCCCTGTGCCTGGCTCTCAGAAGTCCAGGATGTCCCCCCGGGTGACCGCAGACTCCTGTGGGGGCAGCGCCCCGTCTTCCTCCCATAGGCGAGATGCTTGGTGGTGGCTGAGTGATCAGAGCAGGACATGTTCCTGTCACGTCGCTGCCTCCAGCCCTGCTCTCTGTCCTCACTACGGCCTTCTGTGGGGAGTGTCCTTCTCACATGAGTAAGGAACAGGCCCCAGGTTGCCCCGCAGGGCCTGGTCCTGGGCTGGGCCGTGTGCTCTCTGGTGGCCCGTGGCTGCCTCCTCTCCCTGCAGGTCTTGCCTGAAGTGCCGGAACACCGTGGGCCACCCTGGACGGCGGCGCTGCCTGGCTAGAGCCGGGAGCTGTGCTCCAGTGGGCCCTGGGCCGCCCTTGGCGGGTCCTCCGTGTTCTGGCGGCAGTAGGGATTGCTTCTGGCCCCTGGTCCCAGGCTTCGGGTTTTCGGCCAACGCAGAGGCCTGGCTGCCCAGTGGTGTGGCACCCCAGGCGGGGACGCGGACCTAGCGCAGGAAGGACCTCCTCCCGGTGCGGAAGAAGGATTCTATCTGCTCCAGTGACCGGCCCTTGGTCTCGGGCACGCAGCAGCCCGTGAACACCAGGTTCGCTAAGCAGATGGCCGCGAAGAAGAAGAAGGGCACCTGGAGACCAAAGGCGCTCTGGGGGTGCAGAGCGGGGTGCTGGGTCACACAGGAGAAGCCCCAGGGACCTCCCACCCCAGGATGAGCTTGTGGGCCCTGCTGGCATCGGCCAGATGTGTGGGGGCCTTCACCTGGTCCTTGCCCTGCCCAGAGACCTCCCAGGGCTCCCACTGCCTCCAGGACAAAACCCGAATGTTTCGGCATGGCCTCTGGGGCCTTGACTTTTGTCTGGGGCTGGCTTAGGACTTCCCACCTGCCTGGCAGCAGGGCTGCAGCCTCGGCGCCGGCACCACCTCCATCCTGGTGCTCAGCACTCCGGCCCGCAGGAAGCTGCCACCGTGAGTTGGCCGGGCATGCTGTTCTGGGCCACCGCAGGTGGACTTAGCACTCCGGACACTCTGCCCTCCCCAGCCGGCCTGCCCGGCCACTGAGCGGACTGGGCCGGGTGCTGGCCTGAGCGGTTCTGCCTTGTGGGAACCTGTGGCTGGGACTCGGGTTCTGGCTGGTCTCAGGCCTCTTGGTCTGAACCAGTGTGGGGGTTGTGTGTGGGGGGTGGGGAGCGCGCCCCTGTGCCCTAGGGCGTGCCGCCGCGACCAGCGCCCGGGACTGAGGGAGATGGAGCACGTGGGTGTGGCTCTCTGGGCTCCCACCAGGGGGCTGTGTCCTGCCTGGCCTGGGAGATGACCTGACTTCTCGGAACGGTTCCCCCGGCTCCTTCCTGTTTCTCGTAAAGAAGAGCCTTTGCCGGGTTGTCACTTGACTGCTTTTGGCCTCGGCGTTGAGGGGTGTGTGCTCGTCAAACCCCGTGAGGGAACAATGGCCTGATAGACAAGTCCTCAGCACAGCCCCTGGCTCGGGCAGCGGCCCCTGACTGGCTGCAGAGGGCCTCAGGGTCCCCAGGGCTGAGACTCACCACCACCAGCAGGAAGGACTTGGTGAGCACGAAGGCGGTGAGCCAGCTGACCAGCACGCAGAGCCCCGAGGCCACGCCACGGGCGCGCAGAGGCAGGATCTCGGACATGAGCAGCCAGGTGATGGGCCCCCAGCCCATGGCGTAGCCTGCCAGGGAGGGAGGGGACAGGCTCAGGCCCCAGGCGTGGCGGGGAGAGGCCCCTCTCCAGCCATCCCATGCATGTCACCCACACCTTGGGCCATGGCCCCACCTACCCATGATGAAGAGCATGGTGGCCAGGAGGGGCACCAGGGTGAGGTAGCTGGTGGGTGTGGCCAGGGGCTGCTCTGGGCCCCCCAGTGGCGCGTTCTCAAGGCCCATGGTGCTGTTGGGGGTCAGAGACCTCGGACCAAAGTGGACGTACAGCCCCAGTGTCAGGTTGGCAGCGAACATGACACTTGCTGTGGACAGACGGGCGGCCCTCGTGGGGCCAGGACCCTGTGAGCTGGCTGCTCCTCTGCTGGCTGCTCCTGTCTGGTGGCCGCCACGCAGCTGGCCATGTGGCAGCTGAGGAGCAAGTGGGGTGCTGGGGCAGGGGCGCTCACCTGAGACGAAGAGCAGGACCTTGCGGCCGGCGAGGTCCATGGTGAGGGCAGCGATCAGCACGGACAGGAGCCTCACGGCCCCCACGATGGCGGCGTCATCCTGCGGGGGCTGCAGGGAGGGGGCTGAGACACCCTGCGGCTGCTTCTGTCCCCCCACCATGCCCCACCCTGTTCCCAAGGCGCTGCAGGGTGCTCAGGCCCACAGCCCCGGTGGCCATGGCTCCTTCGGGGCACCGGGCTGCGAGCACCTACCATGCGCCGGGCACCTTCTCTGCACACCTGTCCTAGTCCTCCGGGCCTTGCGGCAGGGGCACATCTGTGCCCACCCCTGTGCCCAGCTGGCACAGAATCCAGGCATGACAACGACTTGTCAAACTGTGCTGTTAACTAATCTTCAAATCTCATCTGGCTCGGAGCTCAGGACGGCCCTGTGGAGCCAGGCTGCTATCTCTGCCTTGCAGAGAAGAAAGCGGAAGTGACTTCTCATCAAGGGCAGAAGCCACAGGGGCTCTGAACCTAGGGTCCACGGTCCCGAGGGGTCCACATTTCTATAACCTGGTCCTTTGTGGTCCTGCGTATTTTCTTTTAAAACATTTAAACTTGACTTAAAAACATTCTGAGAATGGGTACATGGCACAGATTTCAGATCTGCCGTCTCCCTGGCACCTGGCACAGGGCAGGTGTTCGCTCATTCAGGGTTGGGGGATCCCTGAGGTTCCCTATCCCCTGAGCTAGCGCCTGCGGGGCGCACTCACCAGCAGGACGGCGGTGCTGTCAAAGATGGGCTGCAGGTAGACCAGGATGGGCGTGATGCCGGTCAGCTGCTGCAGAAGGCGCATCAGCAAGGCGATGGCGACAGGCCGGTACACGTGGGGGTCCCGGGCCTCGGCCCACGACACTCGGCTGCTCTGGAAACACGAGGCCGCTGCTGAGGTGGCTTTGCCATCCTCTCTGGCAGGTACTACCTTGCCCTAGACTGCCTGGGGCTAGGTGAGAAGCCCCCTCCTTTCCTCCTCCAGGAAAGAACTGGCCACTAGGCAGCTGGGCTCTGGGGACAGGCCGCCGCCCCCAGCCCCAGGCCCTTGGACTGGCGGGCACTATTATCCTTGTTTTCCAAGAAGAGCAGCCAAGGCTCAGAAAGGCCTCATGACTGGCCAGGGCCACATAGAGCTGGGTGCTGCGGCGGGTCTGCCAGCCTGGGCGCCCCGCCCCTCCCGCACCTGTCTCCGGATGTTGTCCTGAATCTGCTCAAACTCCCACTGGACGTCGGCGTCGGCCCCGCGCAGCCAGGCCAGCGCCTGCAGCGCCTCCTCGTCCTTGCCCCGCGAGAGCAGAAAGCGTGGTGAGTTGGGCATGACGCTGAGCAGCAGGATCATGGTGAGCACGGGGGCCTCTCCGGCCACAGCCAGCCAGCGCCAGGGCAGCAGGAGGCCTGGGGGAGGAGGGGCCGGGTCCAGGCCAGGCAGAGCCCCTCCCTCTGTAGCCCTGAGCAACCTCACATGTCCTTCAAGGTCTAGTCCAGGGATTACCCCTACAGGAAGCCTACACGGATTGCCCCAGGCCTCCGTGATCTGGGGGTCGGGGGTGTGTGTGTGTGTGTAGGGATTGCCCAGTCTCTGGCACACAGTGGGAGGTCCTCGGAGGGTCTCAAGGGTCATGGCAGGGTGGGGGGCATAGGCTGAGCTGGCAAGGCCCTGGGCCTCGACCCCCAAAGGCCGAGCCCACTCCCACCAGAGCAGCTGCTCTCTGATCTCTGTTCTGTGTGGACTTCCCATCCGAGATTGTTCGACTGGAGCGTTCTGCTGTTGAAAGGTGGTCTGAGGACTGTGGATCGCAAGGAGTCCTCACGCCCAGTTAGGATTGGGCCTGTCACTACAGAGGGCAGGCAATTGCCTGGAGGTGCACAGTGGGTGGCTGGGCGGGGCCGGGAAGCCAGGCCCCCAGCCCGGTCTGCTCTGGGGTGTGTTCCTTCCCTTCCACCCGCATCTGCTCAGGGCCCCGCCACACACAGGAGGTGCAGGGTGATACTTGCCAAGGGCGTAGAGGGACAGGGATCCAAATACTGCCATGAGCTGGGGCGTGGCCCCCAGGGCCCCACGAACGCCTGGGGGAGCAATCTCAGACACGTAGACCTGCAAGACAGCCGCCCCCAGGCTTTGGTGAGAATGGAGGATCCTGGGCCTGGCCAAGGTTGGGGGGGCCCTGTGGACCGTGGCTCACGGGGCTTCTGGTGGGGTTCTGTCCTGATTGCGACTTGCTGTGTGACCCTGGGCAGCCTGCCTGACCTCCCTCTGGCCTCAATTTCCCTAACCATAAAGTGAGCAGAAGCGCCCAGCTCTGAAACAGTAGCACGGGGCTGAGCAGGTGAGTCGGGTCCTTCCAGGGATGGCCGTCCCCTCGTTGGCCAGGCCAGAAGGCTGGGCACGTGCAGAACATTGGATAAGATAAAAAGGCCCCGGCAGGGGTGTGGCTGGGCAGGGGCTTCCCCTTTCCTGCCCATTGCTCAATTAGGGTTTTCTCTAACTGAGCAATGCATCTGCCCATGGCCAAGAAATGGAGTAGAAAGTTTGGAAAGTCCAGAGTGGGGGCAGCTGGGGACATGGAGACAAAAGTAGGTATCCAGGTAAGGGTGAGCGGCGGCTCCCAGGGCAGCTGCAGGGAAGGCAGACGTTCTCATGACAGAGCACGGGAGCTGGGAGGCCTTGGCCAAATGGTGGCTCAGCACCCACGCCGAGGCAGTGGGGCCTGGCTGGAAGTCCTGGCCTTACCGGGATGCAGGCAGCTGTGAGTCCCCCAGCGAAGCCCGTCAGCATCCTGCCCAGCAGCAGCATCCAGAGGCCATGGGCACCTGCCATGAGCGCGTAGCCGGCCGCCGAGGGCACAGCCGAGAACATGATGCTGAGCTTCCGGCCCAGGAGGTCATTGAGTACCATGGCACTGAGGCCGCCAGCTGCGGCTCCCAAGGTGAACACAGACTGCAGAGACAAGGGGGTGCTCAGACACATCTCCCTGATAGGCACCCCGTATCTCATTAGCGCCTAGAGACGATTTCTTTCCCAGGCTGGCCCCAGGAGCCTTCCAGGACTCAGGCCCACAGTGGTAGTGAGCCTCCTGTCTCCTGAGGTGTAAAAGCAGTGTCTGGACAACCATCTGTTAGGGACGTCACAACAGGAAGTCCTGCTCTAGGAGGCACCACGTGTCCACAGTGGTTCTGTCCAGCTTGATGTTTAAGTGTCTGCCAATTTAATACAGGAGAATTCTGTGCCTTGAAGGCCCTGGGACTTTACAATTTGAAGAGTAAAGTGACCAGGACCAGCCTGGACTCTGCTACTAACTAGCAGTGGGATTTGGGCACATTGTGCAGCCTGTCCGAGCCTCAGTTTCCTCACCTGTATCATGGGGAGGGTGATAGCTCCTACCTTGTGGGGGTTGGCCCTGGGAGTCCCTGAGCTCCCGTGTAGTGCCCAGCATCTGCCTGGCACATACTAAGTGCTCAGTAAAGCTGGGGCGCTGTCTTAGCTGCTATGCTGGAATTCTAAATTTGAGTTTGAAATTCTAGAATCTGCGACTCTTGGGGTCTTCCTCTCTGTTAACGCACAATCTGTCCTGGGACAGTCCTCTTCCCAGCGGCACCCGATGCCCTGCCCCCATCCATCCAGGGAGGTGTTTGCGCTGCTGTGGCAGCCTGGCTGTGGGCACAGGGGCCTGGTAGAGACCTTGAAGGACGCCACCCCACATGCTTCTTCCCACGCCTTCTCCACTGGCTTTCACTTCCTCATCAAAGCAATCTTGCCTCACCCCACGCTCCAGGCAGCCTGGGGTGGGTGGGGGAAGGGGTGCCAGGGCCCTGCAGGGGGCGTGCCAGAGCAGAGCTTTTGGGAGGTCCCCAGTAGGGACAGAGGTCAGTGGGTCCCAGCTCCCCCGGTCCCCTTGGGTTCAGAGCATGGTCCTTACCCCAAACCAGGATGCCTGGCTTTTGGTGAGATGTAGGTCCGGATCCAAGGAGTGCTCCAGGGCTGGGATGACGGGGGACGTGTAGACCAGGGCATACCCAAAGCTGAAATTGCCTAGCACGGCGGCGAAGGTGGCCAGGAACACCCTTTTGTTCTGCAGGGCCCTGGTGACGACGGTGGACAAAAGGACCAGGGTTTTTGAGTCCCTCCAGTAACTGCTGCCTTTCCTGAGCCCAGTGGCCACCCACCTTAGCGGGCAGCACTGGGGGCCAGGGCCATTCAGATTGGTGCCTCCCCCCACCCCCCTGGGCCTGAGCACCAGCTACTGGGGAAATTCCCAGGGCGTTAGCGCATGGCTGTGGCCCAGACACTGGTGCTGGAGCCCTTTTCTCCAGAAGAGGCAGCTTAGGTTCTGCCTCCCACTTGGCTGCTGAAGGCTTGCTGTGTGACCTCAGGCAAGCCCCTCACCCTCCCTGGGCCTCAGTCTACTAGTCTGTGCCTGTTGGGGAACAGGCCCTGTACTCCCTTGGGTCGTCCCTTTCCTAAGGGGTACTAGTTCCTTAAATAGGACTAGAGTGTCTAGGGCAGGAGGGACCGTGGCGGCCACTCACAGAAGGTCAGAGGAGACCCAGGGCGGGAGCTAGCTGCCCGCTGGAGGGGACCAGGGCCATCCCAACCCCCACCCGCAGCCCCCGAGCCCGGCGACTCTCACCCGACTCGCGCCCTCTCCCCCGGCGACGGGGGCGGCTTCTCCGGGAAGGTGTCATAGTCCAGGCCCTCGGCTCCCAGCAGGGGCTCCTGCATGGTCCCCAGCAAGGAGCAGGCGCTGGCGGCAGAAGCGCTGAGCATCCGCCCAGCCCGCAGCGGCGCCCGAACCGGCGAGGCTCCGCCCCTCGGCCACGATTGGCTGCGAGGCGGCCCTGCAGAGCCGCGCCCACCAATGGGGGCGGCCGCTCGCCGTGCGGATGCTCGGATGCGGCTTCCCGGGCGCCGCCGTAGCGTGCGCCCCGGGCCGCGCTCTGCGGAGGGTCCCGCGAGGCAGAGGCCTCGGGGGCGGCGCGCCCAGGGCGACCCTTCTTCGGAGGGGGAAGCGGGAGCGCAGAGGGGAAGCGGCTCGCCAAGGTCGCGCCGGGAGCCCTTGTCCCGCGCCGCCTGCTCCCTCCCTCCCGCCCGCCACGGCGCGCCCCGGGCTCCTGCTCGGGTCCCCTCGCCTCTCCGGCCGGGTAGGTCGGGGGCGCCCCGGGGCGGCGGGGAGGGGCCGGCGGTCAGGTTACGGCGGGATGCGCATCCCCCACCGGCCCCTCGCTTCTGACTGTGGACGAAACTCGGGCTTGTTGCAAATCATCCAGGTACTAAGATAAAATGAAAGTATAAGGAAAAGAGAAACTGAACATTCCCAGGAAGCTCCTCCTCAAAACAACGCAGCGGTCCCCAGTTCTCCCCTGGACTTTCTCAGGAAGAGGCTGCGTCGCCCCTGCCCTGCTGGAGGGATGTGGCCTGTATTATTATACTGATCCTTTGTTGTTGAATATTTGGGCTATTTCCAAATTTTAGCTATTAAAGTAGCAAAGGATTTTTATAAAGTTATATGGCCTTTTATTTTAGTTGAAACACAACCCTAGTAGAGCAGTGGAGGAAATGGAGATGGGAAACCACATCCATCCCGGTCAGCCTAACGCGGCCGGCAGTTTCCTTCCTCTTTCCTTCCGTCTCCCGCGGGGTTGCCCCGCACCTTGCCGAGGGCTGGGCCCGCGCACGCCGTGGGACCAGCCTTCCCTAAGCTTCAGCGCTTTCCTGCCCCGAGAGCACAGGCTCGGGACTCAGGCACACCCAGTAAATGTTGATAGCGTTGCACAGGCCTCCTAAGCATGGTTTAAAACTGAGGTAGGACAGATCTTACACGTGCAGCTCCGTGAGTCGCCCTTTGTGTGCGCCCTGTAGTCGCCGCCCAGACCCAGAGGCAGAAGATTTCCATCACCCAGGAAGTCCGGACGCCCCTCCGCGGCCCGCCGCCCTCCGGGTCTCACTACTCTGATTTCTGCTTTTGTGGGTTAGGTTTCCTTCTCTTGGACTTCATATAACGGAACCATACTCTTTTGTTTCTGGCTTTTTAAAAAACATATTTCTTCTTTTAAAACCAACTTTATGGGCTGGGCATGGTGGCGCGCGCCTGTGGTGACAGCACTTTGGGAGGCTGAGGCGGGAGGATCCCTGGAGCCCAGGAGTTCCAGGCTACAGTGAGCTATGACTGCACCACTGCTCTGCAGCCTGGGTGACAGAGCAAGACCCTGTCTCAAAAAATAGAATAGAATAGGATAAAATATAGTAAAATGAAATAGTTTTATTAAGGTATACTTTATATACAGTAAAATGAACCCATTTTAAGTGTACAGGTTGATGAGCTTTGACAACTACATAACCCAGAACACCGTTCCATCAAGATGCAGAACATTTCCATCCTTCTAGAGGATTCCTTTGTGCCTCT